CCCCAAAACCCCAAAACCCCATAAGTAAAAATCGCTTAAAAAAATCTGAATTTTAATAATTTTAAAATAGAGTTAAACTATATAAATTATTGAGTTCATTCAAAGAGTTCTCCTCTCAATGATTCAAGGGCTAAGAAAAGCATCTCATTTTCTCTAACTTCCACTAAAAAATCATCGTACTCTAATTGATTTAAATCTAATTCATCGATTAGGATCTTTAGATATTTTGCAAATTAGCCGTCTAAATGCTCAGCATTTAACTCCTTAAGCATCATATACAAATGATCTTTTGTAAACTTATTTCCATTTTCAATCACTGCTCTCATATAATCTATACACAAAAATTTAGAACAATGATGTTGTTCTTACCTGTAATATATGAAAGTATGTCCTTCAAAGTGTTTTCTCTTGCAATGGTTTTTAATTTAATCTGAGGATCAAGCATTATACTCTTTTCCTGCGCTTTTTCCTTCTCATATTAATGGTTTTCTTCAGTGAATCTCTTCAGAACTTTATAGTAAAAAACAGCACTTTCTTTTGCTATATCTCTGTATTAAGAAATGCGTTATCTCTCAGCGTTAATCCTCATCCATTCAATGTCATCATGTACATTTCCGTTTTTCATATCCATGTTAAGATTATTTTTCTTCATGGTCAATGTCTTTGGCCTTTCATTTGTCAAAGCATCTAATGTTTAAACAAGATTATTTGTTAGTCTGTCTTTCTTTTCATAGAAAGTTCTGCAAAGCATTTTTAATTAAAAAACTGAGTCTAACTCCATTGAATTGATATCTTATGGATTGAAAATATCTTTTAAGACCTTTGCAAAGCCTCCTCTTTCCTCGAACTCTATTAATTCTTAATCTAGTTTAAGCTGAAGCCTCTTTCTCTTTTCTTCTTAATCATCACTTAAATTTGCCCTTCCTCCTCTACTATCTGTTTCAAGATCATTTAGCTTTATCTTGTCCACATTGTCATCACCATAGCCAAGATCCTTTGACCAATTAAAGAAGAAATTATACAGCTTCTTTTTAAGATCATCAGAATTCTAAGCATCAAGAGAGTCAAAAGATATTAGTTTACTGAGGAGCATAATTTGAATTTTGCTTAGCACAGGCTATTACTCAGGCAATTTTATACTTTCATTCTATGTCTAAATTGATTCTAAAGTAGTATTTAGATTCTCCCCTCTCATTGCTTCAATCATAGTTCTTCTCTTGTTCATCTCTATTCTTTTTCTTATCATCTCTTCATATAGTTTTTCTACCTTGTTCTTTAACATATCATCTAAATCTTCATGTAGCATTTTATTCCAATTAAGATTGTTTCCTGTTTTGGTAGTTTCTTCAGGAATTATATTAGTATTATTATTAGTCTGTTCTTTCATTGAAATTCTACTTAGTTCTTAATCCTTTTTGCTAAAGTTTTTTAATGGGATCAGATTCAAATATGGGGGGTTTACAGGCTTACTATCAATCATTGACACAAACTTTATGTTATTTTCATTATTTGTATTGAAATTTGAAAGCCCACCCATTCGAGAGATACCTTAGCCGTCGTTTACTTTGGGTAGCCTTGTCCTGTTTTAATCAAGATCATCTACTAATTCACTTTAGTTTTACAGATGATTTTACTTATATTTAAGACTTAGCTCATTTAACTTTTAAGGTTTACGTGGTGACAACTTGTTATGTCCTCCATCAAATGTTTTGAAGGCTTTTTTATAAAAGGTTCCATTTCAAGAGTCTTCGTGATTACTAAATTAACTTTTGTTCATTTAGCTGTTATTATTGTTAATATGAGCATTATAGGAGGTATTCATTGGCTTTTAACTAAAGAACGACCTATTTTTGTTGTTTTCAGATATGTTTGAATGATCTCTCATTGTTTCATTTTTTGGATCCTTAAGTAATCCTGCTCTCATTTTAAGATAATCTGCAACATTTTAACCCCTACGACTTTCAATAGGAGCACCCTTGGAATTTTCATTATTATGTTCTTAGGAATTCTGCTAATAAGAAGGTTCAGTAATAAAAGCAGAGTTATTATAAATCCCGTTTTTATCCAAATCATTATTTCTGTTGTTGCTTGAATGGTTAAATGATTTATTTAAGTTATACATAGTTTTGCCAGCACTTTATCTGTTCACGCTATTTGATTGTTTAAAGGAAGGGTTAGATTTTTCAAAGTAGAGTGATTTATCAGGCAAATAAAATGAGTGATTGTATGGCGGAACTATCTCATCAAGCTTATGGCCATACTTAGCTGCCTTCAATCTTAATTAGCTTTCATGAATTTCATCTTTGAGCATTCCACTTGCATCTTTTGCATTCATCAATTTTTTCAAAGCAGGGGTTATCAATCTTTAATTTGACAGTGTATTGACTTCGTAGGAAGTTGAAATTTCTTCATTGATTTTGCTCTGTAAGAGATTTTATTTTTACTATTATTGCTTCATCTGGTTCTCATTGAAGTTACTAGCAGTAGTAAAGAATTGCTCTTCAATCGCTTTCATCTTCTTCATTATACTCGTTGAGTCGACTTCTCCAATGACTTGCAAATCAATGAAGTTTTGATTTATATTTATTTATTTATTCATAGCCCGAGTTAAACTCTGACCGTCTGGCAACTTAGCCAATATTCTTAAGGTTCTATCTGGTCTTCCACTTCTGAATAGAGGATTCTACTGTCTTTTAACTTTTGAAATCATCTTCTATGTTTCTGCAGTCATTTCCTTTGCATGAGGAATAGAAGATTTGAGTCCTTCCATTACACTTATTACGTTTTAAAACTCCCCAAGTGCCACATAAGGTTTGTCATGAGCTGCCATCCAGCCTTTATTGGACAAATCCTAAGTCATTTTTATAATTTAATCGATGAGCTTACTCTGTGCTTTTGCATTTTTGACTAAGGCTATTATCCCCCATAGATGATACAATTAGCAGTTCTATGAATGACTTAGGGCTCATTGAACTATGAGGCTTAATTAGCACTTTGATCTTTATTTTAAGAATTCATTTTATACTTTAATTTCAATTAGATGATATGATTAGATTGACTTACCGGGGTTTTGGGGTTTTGGGGTTTTGGGGAGATCGGAAG